CCTTCAATGCATACCTCCTTTTCAACCCCCCCCCCCACTTGAGAGTCCACTGACAGCGCTGGATTTATGCACCAATTTATCAGCTCCCCCCTGCAATGCGCAGCTACCTACTTCCCCCTCTCCAAATCATCAGTGAACGAAACTGCGGCAGCTACAACCAGTGTACGACGAGTACGCGGTTCTTACAGCTGACAATGATGATGATGATGATCAAGTTACTTGACTAAGAATATTGCTCGCTTGTTCACTCATCACTTATTCTAGATTTTATCTAGGGTAATGCGGCTTTTCGGAGGATCATGTACTCGATATAAGAAGTGAACACCAAGAGAGACATATGGTCGTAAATGGTCGTAAGTACACTCTAAAGAAATGTAACTGTTATAATGTTCCAGTCATCACATTATCATATCATAACCTCATAGTCTAGGATCTTTCGAATATTTCAACGCAAATAGACCTAGTATCGTCACAGAACTTTACAGTACATGGTCAAAAGCACGGTTGATCTTGGTTGCAAATCTGTTTCACTTTTCACGCTTGGAGTCGGTACCGCTATTCGCTGAGAAAAATGTATGATTAGTCCTTCACCTTCTAACGTTTGCATAAAAGGCCTTGGTCTTTGCAAATGTCACCGTTTCCGGGTGGCTAATTCTGAAGACCCCTATGAATCGATGCTACCCAGATAAGCGCAAAATTTGTTTTTTTTTTAATTCGATAACGATGACCATCTGTCTCTTCGAAGGTCATGGTATGCAAAGACCGGTGATTGTGGACCAAATATTCCTTGGTGAGATGCTTTGTAGGGGATTGGCGTCGACTAGTTTCAAAGGTAAATGCAAGAGATCGACACGCTTTATCACACGAATCATTATTGCTTTGAAAACTTCCGCTCCTCTGCCAACGATCTTCATCCTGCGTGTTTGGAGTTAGACTGAGGGGTCGTAAGCCTGTTTGGAAGGGAAATGCATTGCTTGGCCCTGTTGTTGTTTCTGGATGAGGATATCTTAGTGCCATAATTTGGACCCTGGTTTACAGTTTATTCTGAGCGATTTGAATAGGATTAGTGGTCCCCAATATACACTTACACATTGCGGCAGACGCAACTTTATGCAGGAGTGTACTATGGACGATTGTTCTCTTGTGATCTCAACAGCTTCCCTGAGGCGTTAGCCCCGATGCATACAACAAATAGGTTTCCTAATTTTTTCGAAACTTCCATTCACCGCTCCCTATCAGATTGTCCACATAAGAAGTTATGACTTACTGTCAATGAACAGGATAAAATGCATGACCAGATAGACTTACGCGGCAAATAACGGTGCAACGACAGTGGCTGAACGCTTGCTCTGTTTGGCCTCGCCACCCGGCCTCTGGCGGTCTTCCTCTCTTCCAATCGAATCACAGCTTGCATCCGACTCACCTCGTCCACCACAGGCATTCGTGCGTCAAGCTACTCCACCAATCGCCAGCACGGTCACGCAACGGCGCTTTCCGCAACGTGATCACGTAGATCACGTGGTCCGGTAGAGATCCTTTCGATCTGATTGATCCGTTGGAAACCAGACCACCAACCAAATTGGGTCCACTGTCACCTTCGGGCTGCAGTTGTCGGTCGTGTTAGACAGGATTACGTTCAACAATCGGATCGAAAGGCGCATAAAAACAGGCCTGAAGGCACACTGCAAGCCAGACCTGGCCAGCCTGGATGTGATTCGCGACATATTTCTTTGGATGCATGGAGAATGACCAGCTGCTTGGCAGTTAAGTTCACAATCCATAGTTAAAGCACCGTTGGTATGCGATCCCTCTACGCACTTACCGTGACTCACTATCCGGATCATAGTGAGTGCCTGTAACTTGTAGGTTCTTGAGTTTGGTTCTGATCGGCTCTTCTGATGGGATCGTCAACAGTTTCGGACTAAGTCATGCATCAGCACGTGTAGTCTCTGAGCCTACCCTCACTGGTAGTTGTGTTTACCTCGGTAGTTGTGTTGACTCTGACAGGAATGTATCCGGTGAAGTCAGTGCACGAATCTCAAAGGCCCGAATCACGTCTGCCCATTCACGTCACTTGTGTCTTCCCAAGGCTACAGTGTGCGCTGTATGCTTTTGAGACATGGCTTCTGCAGAATGATGTGACCGATGTGTCGGAAGTGTTGCTGGTGTCGGATGATGTTAGCGAATTTTTAACAAGGTAGTTATAAGACGTACATTGATTCAGATAATCTGCACACCCTGAAACTGGTCTCATCATGCATTTTTTATGATGATCGATGGTTAGTATTTTCAGATGGACGGTTCACTCGTCGTGCGAATTATTCTCTCTTCTGAGCTACCCATAATTTGTTGGGAGTATTAGATTCTGGAACTTTCCACTTGAGATTTCTCCCCGCAAGTGAAGTCAATCAATGCTATAAAGCCGAGAAGCACTGTACATCTGTTTCGTCCTTATTCAGCATCTTCATTGCCGAACTAACGGGTCTCTAGAGTAATTCCATATCGCAACTTCCAGGCCAAAAGTTGGAGACTAAACAATTCGGCCACGAGCGGTTGATCGACAGTGATCCGCAATTAAGTAGGATATTATGCCACTCATCATTCAATCACGTGGTCATTTTTGACAGGCTTCTCGATTAACAACTTCTCATTAAGCGGAATCAACTTTCGCTGCTGTGGGAACATTATCAGAGGCCTATAGTCTGATACGAACAACATATGTTGCCCCTACTTATGCTGAGATAATGAATAATTCAGTTATTGGAACCTGGCATGTTTCGCAAGTTGCTAATTGTCCAGATTTCTTATCAAATAAGATGATATTGTGCGCTTATCTGGAGTTAACGGAGTGACCTGCCCTTACCGGGTACCCAACTATCGGTGAAACCACTTAACGGGTGCTGCGTTATTGCAAAGGCTGATATTGTGCCCAAGTTCTCAAGCGCTTTCGTATACATTCAAATGTCTTTCGTGCCAGTCATCGCATCTACGAATGAAATGGCAAGTTACACTGGTAGTTTACTCAGCAGCTCCATTGGGACCGTTTCCCAATAAGCAACATCGACTTCTTCTCATGTTTTTTTCAGTCTGCCAGCTCCCTTCATGGAATCCTCCGGTTCAGTTGAAAATGCGGTAACAGAACAAAATGGAGTCTAGCCCAAGTGTTTGATGATAGCGATGACAAGAAATCCACTCCTACGATCTCGTAGAAAGCGTAAGTCTACGTTGTCGATGGGATGCATACGGTAGAACCAACGTATTCAGACGATCTGCAAAATCGGGATCTTCGATAAATAATCCCGAGAACCACGTCAACAGATGACGACGTGACTTGGACGCTGCGATAGAAGAGTGGGTGGCGTCATATCCTTTCTGATTGCGACTTTGTCACTCTACCGATCAGCCGCTCATGACTGAATGGTTTAGTGTTCGACCACCAAGTGGTAAGAGCGCGAATTTACTGGCCGGAAGGTCCGTAGTTCGAACCCGACCTCTGCCTCTCGACTTCCCCTGTCTAGGCTTGGACAACCTGGCAGTATCCCAGCCCTCGTGCTTCCTTCGTGTGGCATGACAGCTAGGCACCGAAAGGGTGCTACATCTGAACGCTTCTTCTTCTTCTCTTCTTCGACCACCAACCGGGTGGTCGTAGGCTAGAATCTCCTTTTATATTCTTGATATGTGCACTGGTGGTAATTCCCAACAATGGTGAAACAGTTGTACAGTTGCTCTCGGCTTTACGGCAAAGATTGACTTCAACTATGGGAACAAATCCCGAATGAACTGTTTTTATTCACTTGCTATGGCCTTTACATATGAATTTAATTGTCTTGTGTTTACGGTCTGAACAAAATGACTCGACTGATGAAGTCTATTCTTACGCCCTAAGAAGCACTGTTATATCCTACAGGCTATATGTCCTTACACAAGCTAGGGAATTCATGGCTTATACACTATTTCGGATCGTTTTCCTGAAAATTCTCCATTCTTCGACTGTTTATAATCAATTGATTCAAACACGGTGGTTGCTCCAATACTGTCTGACTTCTGTTAGCTTGGTCACGGCGTGGAGCTGTAAAGGAAATCACTCTTCGTTGAAGGTCCATACTTTCGAAGCACTACACTGGTATCATGGAAACATCGCTTTAGCAATGATTAAAGGCAACGAATAGTTTTCGACACCATATTACCTGTCTTCCCACCGGATACCCAATTCAGCTTCACAAAATAGACCGGCTCGATCATGTACTTCTTCGCCATACCCCGTTTGCAGAATCTGGTTCTTACTGCAAGACCTAAAGTGTGACGCATGGTCAGGATACGATTATGAAGACACTAACGAGTCCTAGCGGCGTTATTGTGTCCGTGTGTCACGCAGCCCCTGACACTTTTGTATATATTTGCTTAATCACTGATCCCTAGTTTTCTGCGATTTCGTTTCCCCTACCTCCCGTAATATACCCTGTTGTATGATACTGCAACCCGACTAGGAGCCTCCGTACCCTATTCCTATTTGCCGTAGTGGACGATAAATTATTCGCAATGCTACTGTGGCTTCTATCAGGTACACCGATTTGCTCAATTCAGTTGTATAGGGCGGAACTGCGTTGGCCCCACTAATTTTTGTGTTACTTACAAGTGTGATTTACAATTACGTCCGGTCTATTCGTGCGATCTTTGGTTAATTGCATTTCGCCCAAAGAAACCGGTTCTATCCGAAAATATTCTGTTCATCGTATCCCCGTCGTGAGAGTTAGCAAGATCTACTTTTCCACAGATAGCACTAAGTGAATTGAAGCTGAACACTAATCACGACCTTAGTCTCAGACCTCACACTCCCACAACGTTGTTGCTCACCAAAACTGTGGTGACGACAGCTGTCAGGGCTTACTTAGAATCGTGTAACGGCACTTTTGCCATGGTCATTGCATGCGTTGTGGGGAGATCGGCCCGAGATTAAACACAGCCACTAGGACCGGTTTACATCATAGGAATACCCAAATACATTAGTGCTTTAAAAGTGCAAACCTTCCCCACCGGCGGCCGATCGATGGCCATCTCACCTGCTGCACTCTTAGTCATCGTTTGTGATCCAATGGCGGCACAGAAGTCTGGCCTCCGGCTGGTTTCGTTCAGCCATGGCCATAATCTTCGTATTGTACAACGCCTCTCACTTTCCTCTCCATTTAACAGTTGTCTTTACTCACTTTGTAATTCGGTGAAAATGTATAACTCAGCGAATTCCGGTCGGTAAACTCGCGCCCTGTCAACTTTCAACCAATATTCTTAATTGGTCTGTGGCTGTAATATTTCTAGTACGCTTCGAATTCTCCGTTGAATGTTACATTCAGAATTGATCGCAGTCAGTGAAGTGACCATTACTGTTTTTCGACTCATTCACATGCCTACAGACAGCACCTGATGAGGATTCGCTTACTAACCTCTTGGAGTGAAAAGTCGCAGACCATTTCTAACCTCAGCTACATGGTTACACAGATATCAATACTAAACCACATTCTGTCTTTCATGCTGACCACCTGCTCGTTCTTGTTTTGAACATTTATAGATGGGAGCTTCCATCCTAGGGTTACGGATCTGTGATCGACGCTTTCATGGTGTTATATTTCCTCAGGAGGGTTGGAAAGAAAACATCATTTTCAAACAGTGTACGCCTCACATCACCAATAGAGAAGCCTAGTGAGGCTTCTCAATGCGCAGTTGTGCACCCCGCCTCTCTCTCTGTTCAGTTTTTCACTTGTTTTTCCTCAATATTTCGTTTTTAGCATAGCGAGGCAGAGTGGGTCGGCCTGACTCTCGAAGAAGCGGTCAAAAAGCAAATAAAAATTGAAACAGAAGCTGCCAAAAGTACAGTCCGTCCTCAAAAGTATGACCTTGTAGAAAAGGTTTTCAAAGAATTGGAAACCCCAAAAACGTCAGGTGAGTGGATTGTTCGGTCTTAGCACCGCGATTAATGTACATCATACGGCCGTGGTCTTATGGTTTAACTCGATAGAAATTGAGCACGCGGACGCTATAGCTCATCTTGGTTCAGGTCGTTGAAAGATACAAGTCATTTTAGTTAACCTATATAATTCTGCCGCGCGGTTTGGTATACGCTTCACTACTGTAAAGTGTTGCCAAAATAGTCGGTAGGATCTAACTCAAGACCCGGGATTGCAGACCAACCAGACGGACTTATTTACGTGAGTAGTTGTCTAAGTTCCAGTGGACTGGCTGGAGACGAATCGGGGAGGCCAGGACAGTTTTTTTTCATCCGACACCCATGGTATCTGTGTGACGTTAGTTTGCCCCTCAAGAGCAGAATGTACATTGTGCACTTTTTAACTTGTACGATGAGCGACCAGGAATTTCGAATGACGTAACATCGCTCTGGTCATCAGTGTAGTCACTTGATTTTCATTGGTTAGTTAGGAGCCTTTTTGGATCCCTATCCAAATCAGTCTCCTTTTTTAGTTGGTCTACAACAAAAGGCACCGAAACCGGCAGTTTGAATCCTCAGTTACATCAAGGCTTGTATTTCACTAATCAAACTTTCGATGCACACGCATCGCCGCTTTCAGTGACGGTAATGACATGATGTCCGTTATAGTTACTCTGAACCTGTAATCGTTGGCGCATTTCAAAGCAGGAACGCCTCCAAAGTAGTCGTCCTGTTTGTGTTCGCTCTGCATGGCAATTTTGATACAGTTTCGCCTGTAGAAGAGACATTTGTGTAACGCGATCGACAAACATATTTCTTGATATACTCTGACCAACGAATCGTTGGTCACATCAGTCGTTTCGTCAGACCTAGTATTTCAACTTGTATGCTTCTGGCGTAGCATCTCTCGTGGCCGTTCTACAGCATTCGCCTTCAAGAAAAGATGCTTCGAGAAAGAGGGCGATTTCAGTCTGTTCCGATCATTTTCATCGTTGCGTTGTTGCATTTTACGTTGGTAGTTTACTGGTGGAGCCACTGTACTATAAACCCGTTTGATTGGAATACGTTTGGAACAAAATGAGTAGGCTAGCACTGCTCCTGTTCGTTCCCACAAATTGTCATCTTGGTCGCAGGGTTTCGCAGAATAAACTTGATAGTCTCTCAGAAGAATCGCCCCTGGGTCAACACCCTTGTTAGTAATGATGATGAGGGCATCTTCGTGTCCTATAGCGAACTGCACAGTCAACAAAATACCCTCCTGTTTGACATTGAATTCACGGATCACTCCGCTTTGAGAAAAGCAGCTACGTTTGCGTAGCACGATTGTCAAACTGCTCGATACTAGCTTCTAATGTTTTTATACGTTCGTTAGTGACTCCAGACTCATTTCCATGTTTGTTTTGCCACGCTCATCAAAGCTTATCAAGCAGCGACTAGTGCTCACTAAGTAGGTTGTAGGATTACTTCACTGTATAGGACCGAATAACCTGAGCTGAGCGTTAGTATCTATTACTGCTACGCGTCTTTCAGTCGAGGGACGCTTTCGTCATTGACACGTAATAGAAAGGATTAAGGACGTTTTTTCCTATTCTGCTTACACTCTACTGTACACAAGATTCTTGGAATCACCTAGCCCTCAAAAATATTCGGAATTAGATTCATGAATCTCACCTCGCTGGCTGACAGGCACAGCCGTTGGGTTGCGATGTTTTCTCAAGGTCTAGAGTTGTGCATCCTACGTTAGGCTTAAAGTAGCTGTTTTTTTTATAAAGTATCTCCTTCCCATTACATGCTTGGTTGATTCATTTGGTTGTTTCGTTGCTTCTGGTTGATTCCTACCAAACCATGCCTGATAAACTACTCCCTCTCTTCTTGCTCGCAGCACCAACTTCTACGAATCTCAAAGGGGTCCTGTCTCGCATACTCCATGGAGAGAAAGATAGTAAACAGTGAACACAAGTGGGAGTTGTTGATCGTGTGTGCGGCTCTATTATTTCCATGTGCCTACACCCCTTCTTGATGTAGATATTCGGCAAATGTTATAATATAATCCTGTAACACAATGGCTTGTTAGTTGCATTTTGAATGGGGGGCAACGGCAGACACGAATGACTCTTGTGCTTTGACGCCAGCTCGTGATCTGAACCTTATATCTCTTAATGATGAACTAATAATCGTCGTTCAGCTGTAAAACCCTTCGGATGCATAGCTACTATGCCACCCGAAGGAAGCACGAAGACTGACATACTGTCAAGTTACCCAAACCCAGATAGGATTAGCCGAGATGCTGAGGTTGGATTCGAACAATGCCTTGACCACTGAGCTATTCGGAGCTCTTAATATCTTTTGCGTGTGTTGTTTGTCGCTATGTAAATCTCTCCACAACTGGAACGACAAATAAATGTTCGTGATGTGAGACGGTTCGAGTCTATCAGAATGGCATCGGTTCTATCACAGGCTCAGTTGTTTGGGTTTCAAATACCGAAAACACAAGATTTCTTAATGGTTCGAACAAAACCCCAGCATCAGTTCGATTAGTGAGTTCTGGTCTTCCAAAAGGCTCTTTCAGAGGAAATCAATACACCGACATTCGGAACATCCGCGCCGGAACTATCTATGGGTTGTGAGGAGCGCTCTGAAGGCCATTATGCATACTCCAACCGCATTGACCTCACGTCTCCGACACCGCTGCAGAGACACCGAGTTGACTTACATACACTTTTACTGTTTGCAGCGTTTTACAAAATAAATGCGCATAGGTCGTCCACCATGGACTTGCAAAGGTTAACTACAAAAAAGCAGTATTTTCTTACTTTCCCATGGGCTTATCCCTAAAATCAAAACGATAGACATCTCAATGGATAAGGAACAGTAGATTGTCTTACCGAACTGAAAAATTCTTCATGTGGGGATGCTTAGTTACTAAGCGATGATTTTATGCTTGATAAATATCGCTTGTTGATTAGTCATGGGCCGACAAACCCTTGAAGAAGAGACATTGTACTTAGGGACATATTTCTCCCATTTGACGTCGGTGAGGTGAACCCTAATATGCACTGGTTACCCATGGACCTATATGGACCAGGTAATATTCCGGATAAAAGTTCGCCGACTTCCTTAATCAGCCGTTGAATCGGATCGGTCGATGTGTTACACGTTTTGATCATATCTTAAATCCACTTAATTAAATAATGTCAAGTAGTGTATTGCAGAGGAGTTAGGTGGCCGAACAAAATAGTTCCCTGAAGCTATCGGAGAAGAAACACGAGTGCATACAGTCATGACTTATACACCCATCTGCGTACCAATCTGGTTTTGACAGGGGGCTCATATGGAACCCAACTGAATCTCTCGTTTACGAGCCCCGAGGAAGACGAAACTGGTCATGGGCTGTCGAATAGTCTTCAGCAGTAGTGCATTACGTCTATAGATGACTTACAGCTCTAGCCACGAATGCTTGCGTCATAAAGGTAAAAAGATTTCATTGTTGAAGACAACCCAATGCGTACCGTTGGGATAGTTATCCCAATGCAACTTTACTGTGGGAACAGCTCAACACAGGTTAATTTAATGAACGATCCAGTGCAGAGGACTCACGGGCACAGCAAACTAGCGTTACAGGTCTACTTCTACTGCTGGCTGAAAATAACTTTTCTGAACAACGAAGATAGTATCCAAAGGGATTACAAATTCCTGATAACAGCGCGGCAATTGAGTTGTGTAATGTTGTCCAACAGTATTTTAACCTTTAAAGCACTCCGTGGAGGAATCATGCTGGTATCGTTGTATTTGCGCTGTGTAGTGAGCCATTAGCAGACTATGAATACAGTCGAACCGGGTTACATTCGTAAATACAACCTGCTGAGCATAACTCACTACTTGTGAGGTTGCGGGAAACTCCGGTTTCGCTCCTCCTGGGGCTTATGTGGGGGTAGTCCTGAAAAAAAAATTAGACCGATTAGTTCTTTCAAGTGCGCGGACAAACTCTGACGGTTTGCTAAGACAGATTGTGAGTGCTTGTGTCCGCAAGCCGTTTCAAACATCTGGAACAGTATAAACTGCACAGTATCCAAGGAGCGAATGGCACCACATTTTCTCCGCAAAAGATTCATCCGTTTTCTGTATGTGGCTTCCTCACAGGAAAGACCAGCTTGCGGAACATAGAAAGAGCCGGTTCATTCAAATGATCTTTCGAGAGGGGGACAACCTGTGTTGGCAGCTGATCCGAAGATTATTCAGTGATCCAAACGGAACCGGAACGAATTTCGGTTCCAGTTACTTACAAACATAGTACTTAAAAAGCTATAAAAAAAAAGGATCAAGCGCTTATACTACAAGCACGAAATTTCACTGACATCTGGGAACTAGCAGAGCTTTCAGTTCCACAGCGAAGTGCACTAATGTCTTCATTTTGAACCTTAGCTGTCTGATATTCTACACTGAAGAGTGTTCCGGGGGAGATGGGATTATCAAAGAGGAAATTGAGAAACAGTCCCACGCTTTTTTCGAGACTACACCACAACCGAATGAACTTCAGCGAAGCTTGCCCTTACATTTCAAGATCTGAGACCGAAGCGGAATCATTTCACACTATTGATTCAAACTTGACCTCATGATACCCCCCATTTGTTCACATTCAGATCACTGTCGTTTGAACAGTCGTCCTGTCCTGGCGTAATTATTCTGGTGAGTCCAGGACAGGAGGACGACTGTTCAAATGATAACGTGAATACCACCACTCCCGCAGCCACCCACAACAATTCCCTGCCCATGTACTTCTGATCTCAACTGGTTTTGCTCAACGGTATTTGCCATTCGCAAAGGCCATCCCGTGGTACATAAGCACGTGTGTGTGTGTGTAGCTGACCTAATTACTCATGCCTGTTAGTGCTTCGTCTGCTGAGCTTACCCTGACTTGTTCTGTTGCGTTTTCCGTGTGATCATCACTAATCAGAATCACGAGACTGGCATCGGAAGCGACAAACGCAACCCACCCAACCAACTGACCTAATTACTCATGCCTGTTAGTGCTTCGTCTGCTGAGCTTACCCTGACTTGTTCTGTTGCGTTTTCCGTGTGATCATCACTAATCAGAATCACGAGACTGGCATCGGAAGCGACAAACGCAACCCACACTACCGAGCCAACATTCCACTCAGCGTCAGTGACAGACTTGCGCACTTGACACCACGAACGTGGACACTTGAGTTTTGTTGTATAGCTTTGTGTAAATAGCACGGCAGGTTTTCGAACCCAATTCTTCCTTCTGATATTCGGCATCGTCAAACCTACCCGTGACTCAAGGTTGCGTATCGGGAACCTCAGCACACGCATGAAACGTGGAGACCGAAACTAAGGGAAGGGGAATTACATCGCCTCCGCAAAACCGATTACTGTGATCGGTTTAGTCGGATTACGTAGTATCACAATACAAGCGTGCGCAACCGCCTTATCACTTGCGCGTCAAAAATCTGTGGCAATCGCCCACAAAAATACTAAAAAACAGTACCACTTCAGCGTCGCCGTACACTCACTTGGAAATTCACGAGATGCTAACGAGGGACTCATTTGTATCAGTGAAACCCATTCTGTCTCTATACTAGGATTCAACTGACCACCCACACAAGCTGCCTTATGTTTCAGAGCCTCAAGAAGAGCGAAATCGGAATAAAACTCGGTTTTTCACCAACCTTGTATTGTGTCAAGAACTCTTCTTTGTGCAATGTTGCAGTTGATAGGTTACTGGACTTTACCCAGGAAAGTAGCAGTGCAAACCTGAAAACCCATGGTGCAGTGTGTAGGATTGCATTCTCGTTTTTTTTACACCGAAATCACATATACGAGTATTGAGAAATGTATCTCTTGCTCTCGGAAATCGAGTGAATAACCCGACCCAGTGCTCACAAACATTCGACGTATCACTTTTGTGTACCAGTTTCTCTCGTTCGTCTATTCTGTTTCTGACTGAAACATACAGTTCTCTTGGATCCAGACTTCCTCATCTCCATTTCCAGTACCATTTTATCCCTAGCCACTTTTGCCTCAGGACTGGTGTTTGTGTTTTAGTTCGTTCTTCTCAAGTGTGGCAATCTTCATTCGGTTGACCTTCATTTCACCCGACCGTGCGGTAATAGTTATTTCGTTCGCCACAGAACGAGTATTCTTGCTCTGTACATCGCTTTCGAACTGGCTTCAACCGCGTTGATCTGTTTTCCTCAAGTTAAAAGTCAGTCGAATCAGTTTTGAGTTGGTTTTGCAGTGCTGAGATCTGTACATTTGGCAAGTCTGTTGTTCACCCACAAATTAGCTTCATCCTTCATCCGGTCACGCAGAAGAAGCTTTTTTCACTCAATTTGTTTGATGCCTTACCTTATCTCTGAAACTAGAGCACCCTGCGCATATCTTTGCATACCATTGCAGCATTCTATTTCCAGTGCTTCTATCCTCTGTCCGTTGTACCACTGTATTTTGACTATACTTCCATCAAGCAGTTCACAACTCATTGATATCCATTGCACGCAACGTAGTTTGGAAACACCTGTCGACAAAATAAGATGCTTGTAGAACTGTATCACTATTTACTTGTAGGAAGCTTGAAATCTGAGACAAATACTGATTTTTTAGGCCTCCTAACTGGGACTCTTTCGAATACTGTCTCTGTTCCCAATGCATTTTGACGTGTCATCGTCACATTGACAAACTGTCCCCGACTGACAAAGTACAGTTTTTTGTCCAGTGACAGGATGTGACATCTTTGTGTCTTTTTTACGGCCACTACCACGGTCAGTGTTATCCTGGTTTAGCTAGTTTTGTCCCTGTTAGCCATCACCCCACTGGCTTTTGTGAGAACCTCCGGATGCTTTGCTGAGCAGAGCTCTACATCTTTTGGTTAGTCAAAGAGATGGAACTCTGTAAATCCCTCCTGCTTCCAATCTTCCCCATCTACTCCAAAATCGACTCCGTTTCGGGGCATCAATAAGAGTATACCAGCCACTGAATAAATCGATAAATAATGAACATAGACAAAGAAATACAGAGTAGACTGGAGATCACATCAGCAGATCA